GAAATCACCAGGAACCATTTAGTCTCCAGCGCCACCATTTTCTAGAACTGCAACCTACCTATAGTCTCCAGAAGTACAAGGTGTCAGGTTCTCAGAGACTTAGGTTAAGTATAGAATCAGAAAATGACCCCTACTTAATAAGAATCACATACTGAAGTGTAGTAAAATACTTGAAGACTGATTTTTTATAGGCTTTATAGACAGATAAGTTGAGAGTGACTCTTGAAGGACCAGCACCACATCCTCTTGTACCACTGTTTGAAGAATTTATCTTCCAGAATCTGGCAGTAAGTTTTGGGAGTTAATTTTTAGTTCATCTCGAGATTTTATCTGTAGAAGATAACCTGCTTAATAATTATGCACACCTGAATATAAGGCGTTTTTCACTTCCAGCCTTCATGAACAATAATATATAGGTGATTATAAGTGATTAAATACAAGATTAATAGCAGTTATTAAGATTGATGTTGTTTGGAATTGCTAAAATGTGCTTGGAAAAAAATATAAACAGAATATCAACTTGTACTGTACAGTATTTTCCCTCTTCTGCTGTCATCAGCAATGCAAGGAATGTTGTAATTGGTTGTCAAGGCAGCCAATCAGAATTTAGCAGCCTGGTCTCTGATTGCCCGGAATTATGGCATATTGTAAGGCTGGGTTGTGTTGAGGAAGCTAGCCGTCGGCATTTAGAGAGCACTGAGGGCAGGCATCAGGTGAGCAAGCTAGTGAAACATGCACGCGCAAAAGAGAAGGACTGCACACATCCAAAAACTTATTTTAAATGCAAAATTGATTTTAGTGTGCTCTAAATACTTTTTCTTTGCGAAACGAACATTTTCTCCACAAAACTCAGATCGCGCGCGTACAAAATGCACTTTTGTGTGCTCAAAATATGATCTTTTGTGCGCAGAATTGTGGCAGAGATCTAATCCTATATTGGTCCCACCTTCTGTTCAGAGGAAAGTATGCAGAGGTTTTTTGCGTGGTTCTGCATGCACAGCACTTGGTCACACAACATTTGTACAAACATCAATTAGTGCTGAATTTGATTTATTCTATTGTATTTTTTGTTTTAAGTATTTTATTTACATCAATATCCATTTTATATTTTTATTTATTATTATTTAAATTATTTATATGAAACATTTTACTTTGTACTTATGTTTATTTCTTTTATATTATTTTTAAATATCTGTTTGTATGTGTGTGTGT